TTAGCCTTACGGCTACAGTAACCAGCCTACCGGACCCGCCAGCGGCGAAGGCGACCTGCCGGCTCCGTACCAGACCAGTCGGCGGGGCCCACCAAACGGCGGGCCCCAACAGCCGACAGAGAAGCCGGCGACCGGAGACGCTGACAGCCGGGCCCTACACCCGGCCAGATTACCAATGTACCCCTGGGGGGTGGGCCTATATAAACCCCTCAGGGCACCCATGCAAAGGGTTCCGAATCAGATAGAACTAGACTCATACATAGAGGGAGAAGAGAGCTAGCCCAACCTCCTTCTACCTCTAGCATACAGCTCGAAGAGCACCATTGTATTCGCTAGTGCCATAGTGATCATGCGGAGACCCCGCAGAGCAGGAGTAGGGATGTTATCTCCTAGGAGAGCCCCAAATCTGGGTAAAGTATGTCGGAATTCGTGTCTACGCCTCATCCCGCTTCCAGGCACCGGCGACGTTCTACTCGCTCCCACCATGATAGGATATCCATTGGCATATGTCGCACCCAACCCCCGACACTTCTTTTCCTTTCCAAGAGGCATAGCTGTGTCCAAAACCTATGGAAAACCAGGCAAAACACCGAAAAGCCAAAAAAACCTGGAGAAAAGCCCATCTAAAATCCCAAAACACGTAAAAAATCTCGAGGAAAGGCCTAACCCACAACACGTCACGGCGGTTGAGAGCGTGCCAAGTGGCGCTCTCTCAACCCACCAAAAATGAGTCTTGAGGGGCTCCCGCAAGGGATACCACTCACTTAGTTGCGAGTACCCGTAGGACATATTGTCGAAGGGAAAATAAGATTTCTTGTTCGTCCGGGGTTGCTGCCCGGGCAGCCCAACTTTGATAGCCGTTCGACTGCATGGGCTAGTTTGCAGGCTGACCATGTTTCGGCATAGTTCACGTCCATTTTGGGTGCCCCTATATCCCGCTTTAAGCGAGATAGGGGGAAATACTCACGTCGTGCGGAGCCCCATATGGGCTGGCCCAGCCTCGCGGGAGGCCATGGACTGTTTTTTTTGTTTTCTATTCTCGTTTGTTGCTTTATTTTTTTGCTTTTTTATACTTTAAAATAAATTACATTTTCACCCGAGATAATCTTAAGTCTGTAGAATAACTTATTCTACACCCCTAGTAACACTCTTTACAAAATATAGTAATGCAACATATAAAATATCATAATTATTTTGACCATGTAGTAAACCAAAACTTGGCTCGGTAGAGTCAATTGTTATTAGCTATACACTTTAGATAGGAGGTAATTTTATTACTAGCAACTACTTGTGAATAGCCAACACAAGAGTCATGTGGTACATAGGTACAATTAAAAATTGGATGGTAATTCTATTAATAGAAAACATATTAGATGGTAACTTTCTTACTACTCCGTACAGACTCAATACAAGTCGGTTGCTATTAGCTGGTGCTACGAAGGTAGTAATGGCATTACTACATTTCTTTTCTTTGTTACGATTGATTAACCGCTATGAGGTAGGTAGTAATGGCATTACTAAATTTCTTCTTTTGTTACGATTGATTTACAGTGTTGATGTTGGGGTAGAATTAGAGTCAGGATTGGTTAGCGGCGCGCTTCAAAGTGGCCGGAGTGTACGATTACTTAAAATGTTGAACAAATATTTGAAAATATTACCAGTATTAAAAATATTGAAAAAGTATTTGAAAAAATGTTGAACAAGTATTGAAGAAAAATGTTGAATATTTATTAGTAAATGTTGAACAAGTATTTAAAAAATATCGTAGAAGTATCTGACAATGTTGCATAAGTATCAATATTAAACAAGTATTTAAAAAGAATATTTAATAAGCATTCAGACAATGTTGAACGTCTATACAAAAAATGTTGATCACTTATTAAAAAATGTTTTTGACATGTACGAAAATCTAGAGCAAAAACAAAAACAAACATAAGAAAAAGCAAAATAAAAATAAAAATTGAGAAGAAAAAGAAAAACAAACAAAAATGAAGAAGAAAAAAGGAAAAAAATATGAGAAGATAAAAAGAAAACGAATTTTTTTTGGAGAAAACCCGGCTTGACTTGCTTCAAGTAGGACGTGCCCTAACTATTGTATACGAAGTTGATGGTGACGCTGCGGGAGATCCCGTACGTCTCGCTTAATGCGAGGAATAGCGCTCGCGTCCATTTTGTGGCCAGTCTTTTTTTGAGTCGAAACAAAAAAGACAGGCCCTAAAATGGGCGCAAGCCCATGGCTATGAAACATGCTGGCGGAAGCCCTTCTAGTGATGAGAAGCCCATGGCTATGAAACATGCTGGCGGAAGCCCTTCTCCTGATGGATGCGAAGGCGGTCGAAGACTACACGCAGGGACTTTGATGTTGTTGCCGGCGAGCCCGGATGGACGTAACGGCGGCGAAGTACGCGACATCCTTAAGCGCGCTCGCCACATTACCTTGTTAATAAATAGACGTGACCGCATGCCGGCACGCATGCGATGAACATACTTGCACACACTAATCCCGTAAGGAGAGAAGAAGAACAACGACACTTCTTGCAGCATGATTCCTGCCCCAGTTGCTACGCCTACTTGCTGCCAGTATATACGGCGGCCCCAAAGTGCACTCCAGAGCCCCTTCCGGCGGGCCAATGTCAGTACATGCAACGCAACTTGAGTGGTGCATGGTACATCCGTAAAGCAACTTTACCCACTGCTACGACGATCGATCATTTTTACACATGGTGAATCTTGCGTCCAGGCTGGTGAAAAAAGGCGGCTGCTGCGCCCACAAATCGTGCACCAAAGGTTGATGCTCTAGCTACCTCTCCTTAGTCCTTACCCAGGAATAATAACATCCTTACGCGTGTAGGTTTATTTTCGTTGAGTTCATATAATACTGTAGTAGAATAGAACACAAGGATCGAAACTACTCCCTCCGTAAACTAATATAAGAGCGTTTAGAACACTACTTTAGTGATCTAAATGCTCTTATATTAGTTTACAGAGGGAGTACTTGCTTCTAAGCATGGAGCCCTACTTCCTAATGCCATCTACCGAAAGACAAGTTGAGAGAGGAGAGAGGAAGCTTTTTTTTTTTTTTTTTTGCGGGTAGAGGAGAGAGGAAGCTGAATGGCAAGAGCTGAGAAAGTCCAATCAAGCCAAGGCCAGGAAAAAGTTAAAGAAGTTGTCGATATATACTCACTTTGAAGTTCGAAAAGGCGCAAAGCGCTGACGATGAACCGATTATTATCTGCACTTTGGGTGCTGGGAAGCAAGAAACTTCTGAAAGATATTTCTGAAGCATGATACTACAAGATATTTCTGAAACCTAGGACGGCAGACCGTGGAACTCAACTGAAAGAGACGCTACCTAGCTAGCATATAGCATAAGACACAGATTGATGAGCGCACCAGACATTAATATTGCTCATAATCACAGAGAGAAGCCACCGGTCTCATACATAACATGACACTTGATTATATTGCCATAATCATGAGGAAGTTGTACAAGACCCAACACATGCATGTGCTTTGCTACTGCGCTAAGTGCGTACATATCACTGTGTCTTGTAGCAGTCGCTGTCAGTTACATGTTTGTCTCCCATGCATAACTATGTCTATATGATTGACTGATGTTCATGCACGCATAAGTGAACGCACAAGACCAACCTGCAGATATGTACCAGGTAGCACTAAGTTGCACATGGCGTGTAGCTCCTCCAATATTTGTGTGCTGTATACTATTGGCATCAGTTTATTGCAGACTATATTTATATAGTGCAGTACCAAGCCATTGATCTAGGGTTCACCCCCCCTTAATTAGCCGTTGATTGCATATATGCATGCGGCTAGTTATACATCGATCATAGTATGCATATATGTAGTGTATGTGTTGCCAATATATAGGTAATGCTTAATTCGTGGCTGGCTTCTTATCACAAACTATATACTAGTAAACTAGCCACGTTGGATAATTTGCTGACTTGGCGGCGGGCTGGTGGCGTACGAGGGCCGTGGGTAGATCAATTGTACATCCTCCTGCCGCCGGAGCCGGCCTCACGCTGGCAGTTGAAGTAGACGGCGGCGACAGGCGGGCCGAGGTTGTAGAGCTCGGCGAAGTCCCTGGTGTTGAAGTTCTGGCGCCACCCGGGGGCGTACACCGTCTGCCGCCCGAGCTGCTGGAAGAGTACGAGCACGAAGCGGTGGATCCCCATGGTCGGACGAGGGCTCTCGTAGCACATCACCTCCTGCCCGAACGACGCACCAGTTGTACCGGGGATATCTGTCACAAGCCTGCACACACATGTAGACACACACACGCACACATGAGCTAGTGTGTATATCTAGGGACAGAGAAATTATTCAACTGAGTTACAAATTTAGTACTTACCAGTGGAGATACTCCCTAAGGTTGGGATCGCTTGGACTTGGAGCATCTGGGTCTACCATCACCTGCGGGCAGTAAACGCGTGCACATCATGATCAAAGTAGAGAGTACTACCTACATAAGCATATACTCCCTCCGTCCACGAATAAGTGTACTTCTAGTTTTTATCCTAAGTCAAAGTTTTAAAACTTTGACCAATTATATACAAATAAGTAGTAACATATATAATATCAAATTGATATATTATGAAAATACATTTCAAAACGAATCTAGTGATACTAATTTAGTGTCATAAATGCTGCTACTTTTTCCTATAAAGTTGGTCAAAATTTTAAAACTTTGACTTAAGACAAAAGCTAGAAGTACATTTATTCGCGGACGGAGGAAGTATTTAAGATCGAGCTTTAATTACTCGTGTGCTTGCTAGGACAAACATGAAACATGTCAAGAGAAGCATAAAAAATAAATGCTCCCCGAACATAGAAGAAGCATAGAAAAATCATGATCAACACCAGAGGGCACAGAGACATATGCAAGATGGAGCATTAGTCATGTGCTTGCTGAGGCAAACATGTGAACAGAAGCATCGAAAATCAATTTCCCTCACGTACTATAGATCGAGCTCGATCGATCATGTGCGTGTGGTGAGCACTTTCAGAGATAAATTGGCATTAGATAGTGACTGTGTACGTACGAGTGTGTAGAAGGTCCTCATCTCATTGCCGCCCACCTCAACCCTGGGCTGCTGGGCGACCATGGACGGCTTGAGCTCGCAGCCGTTGGACACGGTCCTGTTCCCGAAGGTCACCCTGAGGTTGGTGGTCCGGACGAAGGGGTCCAGCACGTCCCCCACAACCCTGCCAACCACCAGCGGGTCCCTATCCCTACCGGCCATTAGCCCTTCCTTCCTAGTATAGATCGACCGGCTAGCTTGCCTTGCTAGCTAGGGTACGAGGCAGCAAGCAGAAGTTCTCTGGAGCAGGAGTAAGCTGTGAATTGAGGAAGTGGTGATGATGAGTGTTGCCCCACGGCCGGTGGCCACTTTATATAGGGCCGAAAAGCTCACGCAGGGTACATGTCCATGTCCAGACCAGTTCAGCCGCTGCTCGCCGCTCTAGTACTCCTTGGCGCTGCCGAGCTGGCGTGGCCACGGAATCTCGTCGCCTCCCTCTGTACAATTGGTTCTGTGGATGTGGTGTAACCGGCAGCGCTTTTGACCCCCACAGGCAGAAGCGAGACCGACGGATGCATCTGTCTGCCGTAATAAGCTCCTGATAATGATCACCACGCAAATTAATGGTGGTTTCTGTCCGTGCCTGCTGGGGTGTAGGTTTGCGTTGCGTCCGGGGCTCTGGGCCGACCGGCGGTCACGCCGCGGCCGGCCGGCAAGCGGGCACAGGGAATGTCTGCCAATTAGCTAGCGGCCGACGGTGACTGGGGTGCAGGCTTCCTTGGCTCGATTTGATGTAAGCTTCATCAGCTGCCGCCGGCCGTAGCTGGGAAGGTGTCGAAAGCCCGGCCGTTTCACGTGCATGGTGACGACGGGGAGGGAGAGCAAGATCACACAGCCTCGGATGGGTCGTACGGGGGAGATCATTGGAGGACAGGTTTCATTCTTGCTGCTGGTTGTGTGCGTGGTCGGAAAGGATGAAGAAGACGGACTTTCCCGAAACGTTAGCTTACACGGGACGCGGGCCGTATTAGGAAAAAAGCCCCCCACAATCATTTTCCCGCGAGAATATATATACAGTGCCGGTCCCGGCTCAAGGACGATGATAATGCTCCACCTGTCCCTGGGCTCGAAATAAACCTTCTGATTGTTTTTGAATTTCTTTTTAATATACCCTCCGCTTTCGTTGCCCTGGTTCCCTTTGAGCGCATCTTTTTACTACCCTATATCTTTTCCTTTGGATTCTTTTTATTCCAAAGGTATGAGCTGCAAAAATCATATTGAAACAAATTAATAATAGGAATGCTGTCTGGCGAACGTTTCCTGAGATGGGATGGCAAGCGAAAGCATTTTTCTGACAGTTTTAGTTGCGACGCAAGATCAAAAGATCGTAGTTTATGTCAGTTTTTGCCTCAAAATTTCCCTCCTAGAAACCGTCATGCGTCTTTGAAGAAACTGCCAGCAAAAACATTTGCATATGCTACCCCTCACAACGAACGTTCGCCAGCTATTTGGGTCCATTAATAAACACATGTTTAAAATATCTAAAACTAATATAGGAATGTTCTCAGCTTACATTTAGAGAAAAATGAAGCTATGAGTTACGTGATGACTAGGTACAAAAAGATTTTTTCTTGAATTGAACTTAACACGACGACACCAACATTTAACAAAAAAGTGAAATATGAATTACATGATTTTGCTTCAATAGTACAACACGTATACTATCCATGTCCACATAGAAATTAATGTAGGAAGATTAAAGTGCGACCGACATGCATGACTTGATCAACAGGGGAAAAAGGCATGCATAAATTGATGAGGTGGCATGATTTGTATGGACAGATTAATGCACAAAACATAACTTATGAGTACATGCCACACAATTTAGGTCGTACAACTATCAATAATTGAGGTGATGTGAAAGCACATGCGAGAGAAATTAAGTAGTGGTGGCTTGCTATTTAGATATAGAAAATACCTTCTCCATTGGAAATTTTATAGTCAATAGTATGAGACGCTCTATAGAAGAGACTGAGAGAAATATCCTTTTTGGCAGTATTTTAAGTCATTAGGTTTTCCAGGTTCATCTAATTATTTACTTTTAGATGTACTTTCTTTAGTTTCTTTTGAGAAAAATTTCGATCTATTCATTAACTGTCAAGGTAGTACAAAGAACACCAGATGTAAAAAATTACATCCAGGTATGCAAACACACTTTGGAAATGTCTTAATCCAAACATTGAAAGCTTTGAGCACCCACATTGATTGTAGTATTTCAATCTGGAATTTAATAAATCATATTTATATGTATGTCTAGAAATATTTTGGCCCTATTATAGTTTTATTGGTCTCTACACATATATTTCAAAAAAATCTAGTATTCCATGATTATTCATGAGTTATCTTTAGTTGTCCCTAAATACAACCTCAACTTGGATCAATGAATGTGTGATTCATCTGCGGAACTTTAAACGTACGATGTTATGTAGAGGCTAATTGGTTCACTACCAAAGTTTGGCATTGCCAATATTTGGCAAGCCAACATTTGGCAAAACCAAAAGTTGTCAAAAATTGGCAACTTTTTGAGAGGTGAGCAAGAACCAGTTGGTAGCCAACAAATTGAAAGCCAAATTTTTAGACTTGCCAAATGTCTCTAGTCACTGAGCATGTTAGGACACACATCCAAAGACTAGTATGATTATCAACATATTATGTTTAGTGTGGCCTCACATGTTTATAGAGGAGGCTCCGGTGTTACTAATGGGGAGCCTTGCGGATTTGCGAGCAAAAAGTCATGGTCACTGATGGGATGCTAAGGCGACCGGACATAGGAGAAGGGGATTTCGCTCTATGGGGTTCTGGGACCCCGGTTTGACTACTCGCCGATGGTCAAAACTACTTCCTGGGCATCAGTGGAGATCCCCTTAGGCTAGTCATAATGGAAGTATCATAAGCAGTATCATGCATGCAAACTAGACTTTTTGGATGATGTGGCACACAATTAAATGAGAAAAGAGAGGATGTGGTATCATATAATGATACTGTATCATATTAAATGTTGTACTACTACTTTGTGTCATGCATGACAATTAATAAGTCAACCTAAGATAGTAGCACTAACTTATGATATTATGCATTACGTAAGTAGTATCATACACTAGTATCATATGCATGATACTAGTATATGATACTCCCCATTACGACCAACCTTAGCGGGTCTGGTTTGTATCTCCGTTGACAACCTATGAGGTGCATGTCAACGATAGTCAACCCCACCATGGATGATACTCCCTCCATTCCCTTATACAAGGCCACAAACTCATATTACAGGTACCAAGATAAAATTTAATGATTGCTTTGCAAGTCAACTTTTCTTCTTGTTAACCGGGATCATTAATACACCATAAGCATGCAACAAATGAATGGAAAGGAAATAGCTAAGTGTCATTATGACTACATGCATGTAATTATTAAAAAGTTGCTAGTAGGAGGAAACATCATTAATTTTTGCCTCGGTTATTGTTGGTGGCCTTATATTGATGCAAAATGTATTTTTGATAGTGGCCTTGTATAAGGGAATGGAGGGAGCACTATGTGTTTGGGGTTCAACAGAAGATCAACCTGTATTAATATGGAGAAATTATTCTTCCCCTTATAAAACTGAGTTTTTGCATCCATCCTGTATTTTATGGCTTGATGCACAGTGCCACAAAATTTGACTGAAAATAATAGTAGTAACAAAATTTACTTTACATATGGTTTTTAATTTAGATGTCAAATTTAAAGTCCCAAGTGGCAAAAGATGCATTAAATAAACTCAAAGAGATAAATGGAGAGAGAAAGTTGATATGTCTATCTTGACCCCTCTTTTACGAGATGCTAGCTAGGAATCCGGATGCTCTTTCTGCTCACATTCTGTTTGCATACTACAACGCATATGCTAATTGTCCTATTGCAATTTAACCAACCTAAATATTTTGGAATATTGTACCGTTGGCGGTAAAAAAGTTGTATAGTTACTAACTTCACTGTCAGTTAATGACCGGAGCATCTAGGCACATTCATGTATGTCTCTCCAGTATCTATCAGGCTGTAGCACAAAAGTCACGTCCCTTTCTCATCTACCTTTCCTTTTATCGATGACCAGTGAGGCTAAAGTCCAAAAAAGCATCTGTTTTTTAGTTAGTTCTTATTAGCTTCGAAATCTGCATATCTTTTTCTGCCTTTTTGTCCCACCTAGCTAACCTTCCCTTTTCAAATATGCAGCGACTGTATACACACGTACGTTTTCAGCTCAATTATTGGCCAGCTTACTTTCAGAAAAAAAACCCAGCTAGTGTACTGACCAACTCCAAAATCTAAGAGGAAAATCAAAACTAATGGCTCCTTTGGCCAAATGAAAAGTGGAGAGAAAATATAGAAATATTTTCCCCTATGATGGTACTATTTATGTCTTTGGTTCAAAGGAATGGAGCAAACAAAAATTGAGGCCATTTTCTTTGATCCCAGTTCCAAGGAAAAGCACAAAAATTCTAACTTCCACTTGGACCTTTTTCAAATCCCTACGCACAAAGAACAGAGGCTAAGACTCTTAATGGTGCAATAACATTCTGACTATATATCTTCATGTGTTTGACTTTGATTTGACTATGTTTATTAAGGTTTTTGTGTTTTTTCAATTTTCGTGAACCAAACACCGAAGTTGATTGAATTTCTATGTTTGTTAATCCTCTTTTTGCACATACCTTCATATCATATTCATGTGTTTCTTTTTATTCCTACGTTTTTACAACCCCGCTAGCCAAGAAGTGCTAAGGGCAACGCCCATAGCAATTATCTCAGAATAATGCATCGCCTAGGCCATAGCGCCTCTTAGCTTCACAGTGAATCTATCAATTTCATAACCAACTGAAAGGAATGCCAACTCAAGCCATCTTGTGAGGCGAGCCACTAAATCTTGACATCCGTGATCTAGGATTGCTGTTACGAACTCTGATTTCAAGTTGTGCATACGAAGATGAAACCATAGGCGGAACAGATACCCGATCCCAAAAACAGTTGCTCGACACAAACAACGAGGTGAGGGTATATCGCTCCCTGATCCACCAAAGCCGGCTCATAGATTTTCACCCATAAGATGAAACAGACCCATATGTATGCTCGATCAAACTATGTCCTGGTATCTTTAAACATGAATTTTCCTTTTGAGAAAACAACTTATT